GTACAGGGGGAAAAAAAAAACAACTTCTTTGTCAGAACTGTGTCATTTGTTTTGTATCGTTCGGTGTCTCTTGTATGTCCATTATACATGAATATAGACCTACGATGTTCTACCACCTGTTAATCACATATTCATGTTCGTACGGGTACATAAAACTCTGATGATGTTACTAGCATTCGGTAACATTAATATCAGATCATTCATCGGTGACCGTAAAATTGATATCTTATGGATGTGTTCACAGAGTGATAGTACATTTCCAAATTAACCCTTACTCTCTGAGGGTAGTTTACTGCATGTCAGTTGGTTATGCCAATGCCCTCCAGCTGCAGTTTATTGGCAGATAGTTTTATTTAACAGTGAAGGCTCCAATTGGCAGGAGTTGGAGGCCCTGGAGGGTGCCTGATACTGACCAGCTGGGGGCACTCACTTTGTTATCAGAGGACTCTCATTGTTCACTGTGGCATGTATTGGAGTGCCTGTCAAGTTACCCTTGAAATGACATGGCAGATATTGGAGGGCCATGCAAAAAACATAGGAGATTTTCTTGAGGCACATATTGGCATGCGTTGGAGGGTCTAGTAGGGTAAGGGTTAATGATACGGATCAGATGTGCTATGCCTTCAATGCATTACTGGTTACTAACAAAAAAAAATGATTAAGGACCTAAGAATCATTCCTGTCTTCAGTAACACATTACCATGGTACCATTTTGCATATAAATAGCCTAGAAACGTCAAACGCATTTCCTATGCGACCCGTCGTCTTGAAAACTGTATTGAGTTTGACAAGCAGGGATGAGACAGGTCATGTCCCTCGGTGCTTCATGTAACAGGAGTATATCTAGATAAACTTGAGAGTGCAGAAGCGTAGTTGAGTTTATACTTCACCGTGCCATGGTTTTATGCATCTGTGGCTTGTGTAGACCCTGCTAGTTGCTGCAGTTAAGAGCTAGGATAGTTTTTTTTTATGGAGGGACTGATATACCGGTGATCTTACACACTGTCCCGCGAGAGGTGTGTAAGACGTCAGCTAGATTGCACTTGTAAGCCCAAGCTGTATCAGCAAGAAGAAGGGGGGGGGGGGGGTCATAATGCCAAGGCATACAATAGGCAGACTGCATTTGTGCTCTGAATGGCTCTGGGATATCTGAGCATCCGGTGTGCTGCTTGATAAAGCTAATCCCTCCTTTCATCTACTCTGACAACTATCCGCTGGAAAAAAAAAAAAAAATGGGCAAAATTGCCATATTGTTAAGAATAAATGCTATGCCATGTAGGATTAGTCGGATGTATTTCGGTTTATTTATCAATAGGATGAGACATGATGTACATGTGTATGTATGTACATGTATGTACATACACGTTCTTGTGCAGTTTTAGAACGCACTTCCCTCCCCCCTTCGACTCGGGTGCTATGCGCCCCTCGGGTGTTAAACACGTCATATCCCACATCACAGCAGACTATGTTAACTATTGTTGTTCACCAGGAATTTTCATATCAAACAGACCCATCTATAATGCATAAATCATCAATTAGAAGAAATATGAACCCCAAGTATCTGCATGGTGCACTTGTCTACCTCATTGCCTCGACTGCCAGACATTTTGGAGATCTTCCTAAAATGACAGTTCTGTTTGAACATGACCACTCATCACCCCGTAATCAGAGGGGTAAAATGCCAACAAGCATGCTTTCTGTAGACATATGATCTGTGGCAGCAATCTTTCCTAAGACGGCCTAAGATACCTGTTAGCAAAATGAACTTGGGCCGCTTTTGGTGATCAAAGTTAATACTCTTATTTCTTTTTCTTTTTCATTTATTTTTAACCTTCAGTGTTTTTTTTTCACACTGTACACGTACGACCATGCACAAGGATCTACATGAACCAGGATTTAAATAATTTCAATGTAGCCGATCCACTATTTTTATATGTTACAAAATATGTTGAACGTTGCCAAAATTTGAAAGTAAGGAAGATATAATATTTTGGTAAATATTTACATGTACATGCATACATGTATATTTTTGCAAAAGTACATATTCTGGTACAGTCTGTCCATCGTATGGGCCAATTTGCACGTACCCAATCTTGTCGCGCGTCTTTATAAATACAAAAATTTGCGTGTCAAAGTCATGCGACACAAAACGTCACATACTGTAAAATTAGCGCGTCAAAGTCGTGCGACACAAAACGTCACATAATGATACGATGTATATTTCACACATCCCCTGCGCATGAAAAGCGATTTATTTGTAATTAAGATTGCGCGACATATCGCGTATTTGTTCACAAACGAGCATCAACAACCACAAACGAGCATCAACAACATTGCCGTGCGACAAAGTACCTGTGACAAAATCACGATAGGCCTTAACTACTCACCATTCTCTCGATATCCCATACACTCTCTTTCGTTCTTATTTTGCATTCACCCACGTAGTTTTTCACAGTGTAAGCAACCTGAAAAGGTGTTGAGTTCTAATTGATGCGTTCTCATGGCAACTGGATCAGGTCGGTGATAGATTTCTTTTCGTCACCTCCAATTGACTGTGTCTAATAGTAATGTTTTGTCATTGGGAGACAAACACATGTACATGTACATACATGTCCATATGTACATGTGCACTGCTCCTACATTTCAAGATCAGTTAAGGGGGTTGACTTACCAATATTTTGTTTAAAATCCAAACATTAACCCTAACCCCCTAGGCCCTTGTTGCTTACAACCATCCTCAATCCTCCAAAATCCTCCAAAATTTTGCAACTCCGCCTAAATTTTTCAAAATTGTCAGACAGTCCTGCCTCAAAATGCAGTCATCCTCAATCCTCCAAAATCCTCCTCATCCCAAAATTTTGCACTTGTGTTTAAATGAAGGATAACCAACGCCAAATCCTTCAAAATCATCAGACAGTCCTGCCTCAAAATGCATTCATCCTCAATCCTCCAAAATCCTCTTGTGCTTCAATCACCATTCATCCTCAATCCTCCAAAATCCTCATGTGCTACAATCACCATTCATCCTCAATCCTCCAGAATCCTCATTTGATTCAATCACCATTCATCCTCAATCCTCTAGAATCCTCCAAAACCGCCAGGAGGATTTTGGAGGAGTGAGGTGGGTTAGGGTTAAGGAAAGTTGCAGTGTACATTTGTTTGTATAGTGATAATTGCGTGCACATGTACATGTAATCCCAGTGTGGTGTACTCGTACATATAGGTTGGAATTAGAAGGGAAATATGCTCACACCGAATGACCTCTATTGCACAGTCCATTTTGGGCTGTCACATGCACTTAGAATATTCTCCCATTACGAAAAATGTATCCTGACAAACATGGTAAAACTGTTTGCAGTTGTGTGATATCTTAGCATAATTGTACCCTGTGGTGCACTTGTGCACATTGTACATGGGCATTATTCCCCTAAATCTGTCGCTTAATCGTTGTTACGAGTCAGGGTGGTGCTGATTGGGTCTTTTTTTTTTAGTGTGTAGAGAATCTATGGAACACAGAATTAACTACAAGAATTTGTATGCTTAGGCCAAAAAAAAAAGTCTCCGGTTTCTGGTATGCGCGCGCGTCGCCGTAGCCATGCGTGTCGGCAAAATGAAAAAGTTTTTTTTTCAATAAAAGATGATGTCTCAAAACCGCCAAATTCACTGGTTTGACTGGAATCCTGCTGCTGCACAATTTTAACGTGTTTTTAGATGGGGTTATGATCGAGAATAAGCTTTATGTGGCCTCTCCGGACTCCCATACATTTGCACTAAGTTTAGTCGGGCACCATTTGCAGTCATCAGCCGACATTTTAAGCAAAAAAGACAGGTAAAAAAAAAAAAAAAGCCGCGTCGCCGCACCACTTTTTGGGCAAGCTCCATACCAGAAACCGGAGACTTTTTTTTTTGGCCTTACTAATGTTGTGCAAACCCGACCCAAAACTGAAACCGACCCGACCCAAAACCGAAACAGTTCAAAAATTCACACGGATATTTATTGCAGAGTCTCTGTGCCCGGTACGACCAGTTTTGCGGTCTATCACGCACGGTCTTTAACATGTAGGCCCACCAGAAGGTCACGATGTGAGTACCGTACAGTATGATTCAGTTACTGAGAGACGACGATTTTAACGCGACGTGGGTAAGTTAAGGCACAAAAAAATGGGCACTGTTGCCCAAGCCAGATATTCTGGGTTTTTTCGGGTTGGTCCGGTTTCGGAAAGGTTCGGGTCGGTTTTCCTTGAATTTTTGTTGGGTCAAGTCGGGTCAGTTTTAGGAACTTTTCAGATCGGTTTCGCGTCGGATTCGGTATATTTATAATGTTTCGGGTCGGTTTGGCCTGATCAACCTGACTCTATGCACAACATTTATACTTACGTGTACATGTACGGTATGTATACATGTGACGTCTATAATATAGATATGTATGCATTTATACAAGTAGGGTGGCACAATCAGTGTCGTTATAGAATCAGTTTAAAGTTGCATACTCCATGTTCTTCAACAAATTCGATTTTTTTTTTTTTATTAATAATTTATCAACCTCTGTTTTTTACTCCAAACAAACAAAACCCGCCTTTTTTCCTTACTTGGAGATCTGAACCCTCTGAAAAAAACCCTTTATTTTGGGGCACAAACTGATCCACTTTGCAAAATGCGAGCAGAATTGCTTCCAGTTTGTACATTAGCAATACCGATTGTGGGGCGGGAACCAGCCTACCCCGCTCGAACGGATATAATGTAAAGTAATAATTGAAAAATATAACATGGGCCGATTTTTTTTGGGTCGATGTCTCATTCAAAAGTAACCCTAAGTTTGAGGTTCATGTAGTGCACACTGAGTCTACTACAAATCAACACATTAAATTTTTGCTGTGTTTATTTTTTTATTTAGCATGTTTAGATACGAAACAATGCTTTCAGACGGAACAAGTATGATTGAGAGCAAACTGAATAGATATGTTCTGGATATGTCAATTGTTGGCCTTAACTAATCACACGACACAGCGCCATACCAGACGCCATACCTGTCACCACCAAGCGACACAAGCTGGAGAAGGTAAGACAGCTTCATTTGCATATATTCTAATTATTTTTGAATAAATATCTCCCACAAATTAACCCCCATTCGGGAAATTGTACATATATGACTTGGTTTAAAGTTATACATTGTTCTGTCTTTTGGCGTTTGTACATGATCTGAATTTTTTTGGCTGTATTTTTACATTGGGACAATTTCAGCAATATGAAAGGAAGTGTAATATCGTGTAAGAGCCAATTAACCATGATATCTTAATTTAATAAAGATTCAGACTTTCAGAGAAATGATCCAAAACTCTTAGTCTGTAATCTCCTTGACCATTACTAGCTGATGGATGTATGCATGTACACGTTATGTATTTAAGATTTTAAATATATACATTTTCACGTTACATGTAAATCACTGAGCTCTTAAAAGCTCTATATCATGGACACATAACGCTGGAGTTGCCCATTACTGATAAATTGGGATTTTTTTTCGCATACTAAGTTTATTCATGCCTTTTAATTTCATTTGCTTGTTATTAACTTGACTGTTGGGATGTTTCTCAGAATTCTTCCTTTAGAAATAACGAGCAGGTGTATTTATTATGTTAAAAGAGCTAGAGCAAAACCTGTAATCATTTAAAGTAGATATTTAATACATACTTGTCATTCATCGTCCATCATGATATGTGTCTCCTTCTTCAATGGATCCCAACAAATAATTGCATCCCTGATCGTGATACAGTGCTTTCATATGGTGCGATACCATCCTACACAATGTACATGCGCTGCATGCTGATGTTTCCCCTCCCTTGACCGAGTGCTCGTTTACTCAGGCACTTACTGTCCACTTCACATTAAAAGATGTGTGGAGAGGGCTGGACATGCATTATGAATGGCCATCCGTCCCCTCCACCAAAGAAAACCCCTCAATTATAAGGCTAGAAAAGCCTTTATTTATAACTGCAGGTACCATGTACATGTAGGTCTAGATTTTGTATTTTCAGTGATCTCAAGATAGGGAGATGCGTTCACGTGGAATAAAGAATTGAGAAGCAGTGCCCTAAATGGAATGTAGGTGGGAAAAGCAAGGTTTTCAAGTGATAAAACTCAAGGGATAGAAGATTGTTTCAGTTTACATGTAATATTACTATCATTTTGTTGGAATATTATAATAGCAGTTCCTCCATATTGTACATGTACATGTGGATAGACTACAGGTATACATGTACATGTACATGTACCAGTACAATACATGTATAGCCTGCATCTTTCCCAAACAGCAAGGCCGGCTGAGAAATGCCAAGGATAATAAGACAGTGAATAATTTATCACGTCACTATCACGGCTGAAGTTCAGGTGTAAGAAGGCAAGGCAGTGTATTACACAGGAACAGCGCAGCTTAGGGACATCCCCATGCGCATCGTGCATTCATTTGCATCCAGTGCCAAGTTTAAGAATGCAAGGAACCTGAAAACGCAAGATAAAGAAAAGGTTTGTGTGTCTATGTTGTCGCATGGACATGTATAAACGGATGGTTGCGAGAAGACTGTTGGATTACATGTAACTGTTTTGCAGGATTTAGGTCTAAACCGCTCCTTTAAAACAATTGAGCTCTTGCGGCAAACTTTACCTTCATTTTGGAGCTTCAGTTCAAGCCTGAGTCAATCATGTTCAAGAACTAATTCAAGTAATTACATGTAAGATTTAAAGGGAATATATAACATTTGCAAACAAAATAACAAGACTACCGCATTGTTATGAAATACCTTGCGGGAGTGTTAGTGAATGTCAGCCTAAAGCATCTTGAAATACTCACGGCACCTGGTGTGCTGACATGTTTAAGACAAGTGGTGTTTTTGTGTCAATTTCCAACGCTGGTCGGCTGACCAGAGTTTGAAAAAAACTGGGTTTTTTTTTCTTTAAATACTGCCCCCAATTAACAACATTTAGTTGGTCTGATTTTTGTTTGCAATTGATTACACAACTATAAATGGGTACTACAAGCCAGCTTTTCAATTTAAGTGGGGTCGGGGGACCAGACAACAACAACATGATTGTTTTTCTTGGTTTTTCCAACATCTACAAACACACAACTTCAAACAAGTCAGTGTAACAATATTTGTTATAATACACTAACCCCCCCCCCCCCCAAATCCATCCATTTCTGAAAATTACAGCAAAAGCAAATGTTGTATATTCCCTTTAAGTCTGAGTTCAGACCTCTGGGGTTTACTAATAAATGTAATACATTTGCAAACATAAAAAAAAAACTACCAAGTTATTATGAAATACCCCGGTACCTCACTTGACTGTAAGTGAATAATAGTCTCAAGCATCCTGTGAAATCATGGCACCTGGTGTGCTGTCATTTTCAAGAAAAGTGAATTTTTTGTATCAATTTCCAACGATGGTTGGCCGACCATCATTGGAAAAACTGACTTTCTTTTCAAATGCTGCCCCCAATTTACCAAATTTACCAAGTTAGTCCACATTTTGTTTGCAATCAGTTACACATCTGTTGACAGGTGCAAGCCCAGCTAGTCTGGTTCCTGACCTGACAATTCCATGACGTATATATGTAAATTGCTCTGATTCGTCTGAAGCAGGGTCAGGGAACCAGACTACAAGAACAGCATTTGATTCCTGGCTTCCAGCATCTATGAAAACAACACTTTAAACAGATCAGTGTAACAATATCTGCTAAAATACTAACCCCCAAATCCATCCATTTCTGAAAATAATGCAGCAACAACAAAATTGTACAGCATAGCATTGATACTGTACACATTCTTGATAATTATCTGAAAAGTTTCAGAATTATCATCATGTACATGTACATGTACATACAGCTCTTGGATTTTTTTCTCAGTCGTAACATCCTTCATTGCTATTTTTTAGACAGGTCTATGGAGCCTATTACATCCACTAATTATTTATAAATGAATTTTTTTTTTTAAAGGTGCAAAAGAAAACAAATTATTAATGTTCCCACATTACACAACCGGGCCTACACGATAAAACTAGTATAAAAAATGCAGTGTCAGTGTGCATAATGTAAATTACATGTAAGTGAAACTGAAAAACATTCATGTACGTGTACCATGACATTCCCATTGCATCACTGAATTGCTCTTAATTTATTTACATTACAATTAGCATCTTTATTCTTTGGTTGGCCTGCAGAATGTAACTTGATCATAATGTAAAATTGTGCGTGATGTATATTACACATGTACAGTGAAGCTTTAAATAGTCAATTTTCCACCCAAGGTGGTGTTTGTTGAAAAATCCCAATCAAAACACCGTTTGCCATGGCAACCGGCCAACAAGCAGGTGGATGATGTTATCCCTCTAAGCTCGGGGCCATTTGGAATATATATACATGTATATATTTGCTGTATCAATATTCGGCCATCGCGGGTGTTTGCACAAAAGAGGAAAGGGGAGGTGCTGTTGAAGAGACCGTGAGAGTGTATAAAAAAAAATGAGGGAGAGTCATGTTCATGACTTGCTGTGTCTAAGCTCCCCCAGCCCCCCCCCCCCCCCCTCCCCCTTCTCCCACCCCACAAGGTGAATGCTCTCATGAATAATGGATGGCTTGGGTGTTGGGAAGAGACGGTAGCCGATAGGACTCCGGAAAGGGGTCATTTGTACAGCCGATGCAGGCAGGGCTCAGGGTATTTGTCAGGAAATGAAAAATAGGGCGTCTGTTGTTTTCAACGCATGCTGTAGTCTGTACGGTACCGAGAGAATGCAGGGCGTTCATGTAGCTGTTCAGTGCTTCGGGCACAGGCAGACTGCTATGGTGCAGGGATTTTTTTGAAGTTCACTTAATTTTGTTAATAAGATGGCAGAGCGATGGTTTTTTGTCGTTGGCTTGTAATGTTTCCTTCCAAGAAGTCATTGAAGCACAGTTATTGACTTTGTCATATCACTAAGAAACTTTTGTCTTTATTTGTATTATACATTAAGTGCATGTCTGTCATTCTTGAATACTTGTGAGATTCATCAATCATTTAATCATTTCTTTGCACTTTCCAAAACAAAAAACAACAAAACCCTGAAACATCTCTGTTTATCAAAAAAATCTAAGTGTGCTGTGCAGTCAGCTTGCCAGATTAAATATTTAATTTTGTATACATGTCTGTTCTTCAATAATTCAGCAATTTATGAACCAAAATCCCTTGGACTTTGAGAAGGCACTACCGGTACTAAAACTCATCCTGTTTGAGAGAAAACGATCTCAGATTTTTAAGTTGCTTGTAATTTGTTTCTTTTATCTACATGTATCACAGCAGGCAAGCTGCTTTTATTGTCTGGAAGGAAGTCGAGATCTTTGTTGCCATTTTTTTTTAGCAAAATAATATTAATAATGAAATAAGAAATCTACATGTACATGTACATGTAAGTGGGCTATGCACTTGCACGTGCACAGTGTCACTCGGCAAAGAGAAACTGGAATTGTTAGCTTATTTTTCTGTCAACATGTACTTTGTACAATTGAGAATGTTCAATCATGTTCATGTATGTACAGGTTCATGTACCGGTACATGTTCATGCACATGTACATACGTGTACATACATACATGTTCATGGATGAAATCATGAATCATGCAATGTTCGGAGAACTGCAGCATGCATAGAATATGTGCATATACACCTATCAAGCACGATAAAAGAAGTCACGTACATGTACATGTACATGTACAACGAAGACATGATGTGCATGCATACTGGGTGGGAAATGAGCACCATCCTCTATGGATATGAACCATGGATCTGAATCTGATGGCTTCTGATAACCTCATACTCATGATGAAGCGTTGGAGAAGTGTACAAACATGTATGCGTACATCCCTACCTGTACGCTTACAAGTACCAGTATGTTTATGATCATACATGTACATCATTTCTGTGCGTACACATACATGTATGGGTATACATGTATGTATGACTGCATTCTGTTGGGCCGCAAGGTTGCGATTATTTTTAAAATTGATTCATCGTTCCCTTTTCGATTACGAATGACCA